AAAAAAAAAAAAAAAAAAAAAAAAATAGTGACTACGCGAGCATGTTTTCGACACCACCATTTTTGGGAATTTTTCATTTTTTGGAGGCAGAGGTCAATGCCCTGAAAATTTTCAGATGTGTACTTCACATAATACAAAATCCACTAAAGGATTTTGAAAAAATAATAAAATTGTTTAGACCCCGAACTAAAGTGAAAACAAAAATTAAAAAGTGAAAACAAATATCGGCGAGCACGTTTTGACAATGCCACCTTTGGCGATTTTTAATTCTTTTTGGGCTAAGCCAAATGAGTTGAAAATGTATAAGCATATACCTAACGTCGTAGAGAACTCACGAAAAACAATTCGGAAAAGACAAAATATTTTTTGGCCTCCAAATAATTTTTGGAGGGGGCCGAACGCTGTCGGGTTCGGACCCCACACGGGACCCAGAACGTCCGTACATACGGAGGTGAGCCCCGGGGACTTTCGTACGTACGGGCTGGTGACCCGCCAAAAATTATTTCGGGGCCTAAGAATAATTATTGTTTTCTGAAAAAAAAAATTTTGAGTTCTCTATGACGTGAGGTACATGCCTGTAAATTTTCAAGTCATTTGGCTAAGCAAAATAAGGATTAAAAATCACCAAAGATGGCGGTGTCAAAACGTGCTCGCCCACGTATTTTTTCACTTTTTACTTTTTGTTTTCACTTAAGTTCGGGGGTGCGAAGGTGAAAAACCATACAAGTCGATATACCGGTACCTGGTTCAAGTCCCTCATACACAGTATTCAAAAACGAAAGGAAAGAAACAAAAAGAAGAGAGACATCCAAACCTCAGCCTACCGGTGCGTGGTTCGAATCCCAAACACCCAAACGAAACGAAGAGAAACAACCAAACCTCATCCTACCGGTACGTACTTACCCTATCCCAAATTTTCTAGGCATTTAGCTATGCCCAAAAAAAAAGAAAAATCGCCAAAGATGGCGATGTCGAAAACATGCTCGCACATGCACTAAATTTAATTCTCCTTTTATATTCATTTATTTTAATTATTTTTATTATTAGTGGTTTTTTTCTGTATTTTATATTTTTATTTCAAATTTGGTAAGGGATTCGGATGTAATGCTCAGGCAAATCTTGTTTAATTTATTTTTCTCCATAACATATATTTTTTTCAGATTTTATTTACGATTTTTTTTTTTTTTTTTTTTTTTTTTTTGGCCGCGTTCAGCCCAAATGACTTAACGCAGCCCCAGTGGGTCCCATTCGTTCGGGCGCTCGGGTTCGGGCGTTCGACCCATCCCGAACGCCGGTTACCCTGTATATATATATATTGCGTGGGCAAGCAAGTTTTTGACACCGCCATCTTTGCCAATTTTTCATTTTTTTTTGGCTCTGTCAAATGCCATGAAATTTTATACATATGTATCTTATATAATAGAGAACCTACAAATAAAGTTTGAAAAAATAATAATCTTTTTCAGGCCCCGAGATAAAGGGAAAACAAAAAGTGAAAAGAGAAAAAAAACAAATTAGTAAGTGGGAAAGCAAGTTTTGACACCACCATTTTTGCTGATTTTTCATTATAGTTTGCCTCTACAGAATAGCTTTAAAATTGCGAGACAAATAACTGATATAACAGAGAACTCGCAAAACAATAATCAGAAAAAAAAAATAATTTATAAGTACCAAAATATGTTTTTGGGGGATCCGATCCCCTTTGAGTTCGGGGGACCCGAACGCCCGAACGTTCGGAGGTCAACTTAGGGGCCTCCGTACGTTCGGCTTGGCAACCCTTTATATATATATATATATATATATATCGTCACAAACAGAACTGCCCGGTAAAACCGTAGGCAGAGAGAGAGAAGAGGACAACAAACGAGGGGCTGTGACAAACTGTTTCGTCGGAGTTTCACCGACTCATATATATATATATATATATACAGGGTAACCAGCATTCGGGACGGGCCGAATGCCCAAACCCGAACGCCCGAACGTATGGGACCCCTTGGAGATGCGTACGGCCATTCGGGCCGAACGCGGACCCAAAAAAAAAAAAAAAAAAAAAATCATAAAAAAAATATGAAACAAAGATATGTTATGAAAAAATATATATTAAACAAGATTTGCCTGAGCATTACATCCAAATTCTTTACCAAATTTGAAATAAAAATAAAATATCAAAAATAAATACTAATAATAAAAATAAATAAAAATAAAAAGAGAATTAATTTAGTGAGTGCGCGAGCATGTTTTCGACACCGCCATCTTTGGCGATTTTTTTTTATTTTTTTTTGCATAGCTAAATGCCCTGAAAATTTACAGATGTGTACTTCACATAATACAAAACCCACTACAAAAGTGTCAGAAAATAATAAAATTGTTTAGACCCCGAACTAAAGTGAAAACAAAAAGTAAAAAGTGAAAAAATATGTGGGCGAGCACGTTTTGACACCACCATCTTTGGCAATTTTTAATTCTTATTTGGCGTAGCGAAATGACTTGAACATTTACAGGCATGTACAGCACGTCATAGAGAACTCACAAAAAAACATTCAGAAAAAAATAATTATTTTTAGGCCCTGAAATAATTTTTGGCGGGGGCCAAACGCCGCCGGGTTCGGACCCCGTACGGGACCCCGAACGCCCGTACGTACAGAGGTCTGCCCAGGGACCTCCGTACGTACAAGCTGGTGACCCTGTATATATATATATATATATATATATATATATATAGGGTTGCCGGCGTTCGGGACGGGCCGAACACCCGAACCCGAACGCCCGAACGTACGGGACCCCTTCGGAAGGCGTTCGGTCGTTCGGGCCGAACGCGGTCAAAAAAAAAAAAAAAACTTTTCAAAAAATTTCGAAAAAAACAATGTTATGGAGAAAAATAAACTAAACAACATTTGCCGGGGCACTAAGTCTAAGTTCTTTACCAAATTGGAAATAAAAATCAAATACAGAAAATAAACACTATCATAAAAATAAGAAAAAATAAAAAGAGAATTAAAATGAGTGAGAGTGCCCGCACCTTTTTAACACCGCCATCTTTACCGATTTTTAATAATTTTTTGGCACTGACAAATGCTCTGAGAATTTACAAATATGTAGCTTACATAATCAATAACTTATTAAAAAGTTTTCAAAAAGTAATAAAATTATTTAGGCTCCGAAATAAAGTGAAAACAAAAAGTTGAAAGTGAAAAAAAACAAAATAGTGAGTGGGCAAGCACGTTTTGACAACCCCATCTTTGACGATTTTTAATGTTTTTTTGGCTCAGCAGAATGGCTTCAAAATTTATAGGCCTGTAGGTTACATCATAGGGAGCTCACAAAAACAACTTCAGAAAAACGAACTTATTTTCAGGCCCCAAATTTGTTTTTGGCGGGGGCCAAACCTTGAGGTGTTCGGCCTCTGAACGGGACCCCGAACGCTCGGTCAGGTAACCGTGTATATATATTCGTTTGTTGTCCTCTTCTCTCTCTCTACCAACGGTTTACCAGGCAGTTCTGTTTGTGATGATATATATATATATACAGGGTCACCAGCCCGTACGTACGGATTTCCCCGGGCAGACCTCCGTACGTACGGGCATTCGGGGTCCCGTACGAGGTCCGAACCCGACGGCGTTCAGCCCCCGCCGAAAATTATTTCGGGGCCTACAAATAATTATTTGTTTCTTAATTGGTTTTTGTGAGTTCTCTATGATGTGAGGTACATGTCTGTAAAGTTTCAAGTCATTTGGCGAAGCCAAATAAGAATAAAAAATCGCCAAAGATGGCGGTGTGAAAATTTGCTTGCCCACATATTTTTTCATTTTTTATTTTTTTTTTTTATTTTTTTTTAGAAATAGCATGATTTCATTATAAGGCAAAAGGAGGTTTGGAATCCCTCCACATTTCAACCCGGAAAGAAGAACTAAACCTCATTGAGGCATTCTGGAAACCGGGTCCAGCGTCCCCTGCTCCTGTCCATAAGCTTGCTATTTCTGAAAAAGGAGAGATAGAGTAATGAAATCTACCAAACGACACAAAGGAAGAAACTACGACACAAAGGAAGAAACTATCTCTCTAGCCATGATCCTAAAGATGTTCATATCCGGGAGCATTACCCGGCTTCGCTTCCTGGGAGTCTATCTGCGACTCACCTAAGTCTTCAACACCCTCTACTCTAAAATAGCCTGAAACTGTTTACCAAGAACAAGGAGGCCGGGAATCCCTCTGCATCACAACCCAGAGCTACCAACCGGTATCCCAGACTCCTATTATTCCGAAGCATTACTTCTCCAACCAACTACACACCGAAATTTTTCCATCAGGGGACAGTTTAGCCAGTCTGTCATTAAGAGCCCACGTCCTGTGGAACCAAAACCCGCTCTTCCGCTGCTTATCCGCCATAATGGTGAGTCTGATGTTTGACCTAATTAGGGTCTTCAACTGAGCAAAACCCAGTTCCTCACCTCTGAAGAGCTTCTGGTTACGGGCTGTCCAAATGGCACTCATGATGATCCCTCTGCACATCTGGGCTACGTAGGGCCACCCATGGTCAAGCGGGGGATAAGAGTTGCAATAACCCAAAAAAATCCATGAATCTGTCCAATCGTTTGGGGCTTGCTTTATCCTAGACCAGTGTCTCCTCCACCATTGCCATATACAAAGGGAGTCGGGGCAGGAAAACCATAGATGAGGGGTGGATTCGACTGCCTATTCACAACGAGCGCAGATAACCGATAAGTTGATACCTTTATTGGCCAACCATGATGCGGAAGGGGTAGCCTGCATTGACTGCACCAACAGAGTACTAGCAACTTCTGATCTGAGAGTCCACAGAGCTGTCTCCAGAGTTTACAGAGGTCATCTTCTGAAACCTTCTGTGCTGTTCAAACGGCCCATTTTCGAGCTGCAGTGCGACCGGGAGGCTTCTTGATCCTGCTCACTTGCACTTGCCTACCGATTTTAGTGCTATACAGGGCCAAAGGAATAAAAGGCTCCTTGCGTTCTACGCATGTCTAGCCGTATAAAAAGGGCTCAATCCTGTAGGAGTAGGCAGGTCTACCCCCAAAACAAACTTCTTTGCCGTTGGGCCCCGTCTTGACCCATACCCTCGCCTCCTACACGTTCTCATCCAGGTGGACCCATTCTTCTTGACAGAAAGTCAGCTTGCATTCTTCCTCGATTGGACCCTGTCTTGCCCATACCTGTACTTTGGTACCTCGTTCCGTTGGGGGGCCCTGTGTTCGCAAGATCTGTGATGAATTTGTTAGTACAAGTAACCAAGTGTCGACTGCTGGGTTATGGGGCCTGTGAAGGAAGGAGATCCAAGAAGCTGGGATTGCTTCTTTCAAGCTGTTAAAATTTCTTTCAACATTCCGAATTCTCGGGAGTTTTCTTCTAAGGTCTTCGGTAGAAATCCATTCCCCGCGGGCAGAGTCCCATATATCTTTAAGCGCTATCACGCCTTTCGGAGCCCATGCTTTACCGAAATTGTCAGCAGCGTCTCTGGACGTGAAGACTTCCCCCGAGGGGTTACAAATTCTCGGGTTATCAAAGAGAGGTTCGTTTAAAATCTCTAGGTGGGTAGACGGCTCTTTCTCCAAGGGTGTCACTATTTTCTTCCATGCCTGCAAAATATTTTGCCAAACCTGTGAGTGTGGCTTTCTTTGGGTGAAGGACGACATGCACATACATCTCCATATGTGTGCAAAGTTCCTAAATTGCCAGACTGCGCCTAGGAGGTACTCTGCAAACAACATCCAGGTTTTTGTTTTCTGTGAGGATATGACCTGGACAGGCCATTTAGCCAGGAGGGCCACGTTCTGCTGTTTGGGGTCCAGAATGCCCAGCTCACCGGACTTCTTAGGTGCAGCGATCGTTTCCCACGCAACCTTCGATATGAATTGTTCATCCCCCTCAGCATCTGGTTTCCATACAAATTTCGCCGCACACCGTCTTATCAAGGCGTATGCCAGATCTCCCAAGAGGTGGACTAAAAGCACGAACCACAGAACAGAAAAGGCAACGCTATTACTACCAGGGCTCTGCCAAATAGGGAAAGAAACTTCCCACGATGCCACCCATCTATCTTCTCAACTACCTTCCTCTCCAAAATGTGGTCTTGAGCCGTAAGCGAAACCTGTACCCCTAACAATCTTTCAGAAGCGTCTGGGGGGACTACGGCCATACCCCAATCTTCAATAAAGGTGAACGGAGCAGGGAGCATCACCGATGATTTATTCCAATTGATCGATGCTTCTGATAACCCGCAGTACTCTTCCAGAACGATCTTAAGTTCAGTTACTGAAGCCGACGAGTTCTCACAGGCCACTGTGAGGTCGTCAGCAATCGGCCCTCCTTTCCATTGGAAGGAGGGGGAAAGAGACAGCCCTTTAATCCTCTCGTTATATCGGATATTATCCAAGAGGACACCCAATTGTATCACAAAGAGCAAAGGGGCCAGGGGACAACCCTGGCGGAGCGAGCAGGTCAGCGGAAACGGATCTGAAAGAGAACCGTTTATGTTAACTCTGGTCGAGGACCCGTTGTACATTGCTTTGACCATACCGCAGAAGGTGCGGCCAAAGCCCATGTGAGTTAATGTGGTGGCTACAAAGGCCCAACCCACCCTATCGTATGCTTTTTCCATATCAAGAAGGATTACCGCAGCTTCCTTTTTTTACTTCTCGATCATCTTCAGGGCTTGTAAGGTGGACAAGATGTTCTCGAAAGACCTACCTTTTACGAAGGCACCTTGCTAGGGACCTATCAAGTGGGGTAAGTACCACGCAAGATGAATTGTCAATGTTTTTGCAATAATCTTGTAGGCCACGTTCAAGAGGGAGATCGGTCTCCAATTCCTGATCTCCCTCTTGTCCCCCTTCTTGTACAGGAGAGTAATGATGCCTTCCAACATGCCCCTGGGGAGCTTACCATCATCCCTGCAGTATGTAGCCAGTTCTACCAAGACGGGTCCCATGGACTCCCAAGTTGCAAGATACAGCTCAAGAGGGATGCCGTCTGGCCCTGGGCACTTCCCTGTTGACATTTGTTTGGCAGCGAAGTGCAGCTCTTCAATAGTAAAAGGTCTGTCGAGATCCAATTTTGCCTGTAACTGTAACCTCACATGCGTGCAATTCCAAAACTGAGAGGAAAGTGTCAAGTTGGAGTCAAAGGATTATGTTGGGCATATTGTGGTTAAAATATCCGAAAAGTACTCCGCTGCGTATGCACACATAGTGGTGGTAGTCACCGCCGTGGCAGTGTCTTAGTTGAAAGGGTGAATCAACTCTCTGAGCAAAGGTTTGGTACCTTGAATAATGAGGGAGCAGAAAGTCATTTTGGTCATCTTGTCTTGACCCTGGATGCCACGGATTTTAAGCCATTCAAGCCATTGGACCTCACGGCTTGCTTCCAAGGAATCCAACCGAGTCAGCAGGTCCTTTCTAACTCGGGACCAGTATATATTTGCATACGAATCACGACTCATCTTACTTTTTGTTTTCAATTTAGTTATCGATCTAAACAATTTTATTATTTCTTAAAACTTTTTGAGTGGCATTTGACTATATTTAGTTCTTCTTTTATTTTTATTTTTTTTAATTATGAGTATTTATTTTTCGTATTTTATTTTTATTTCAAATTTGGTAAGGAATTCGGATGTAATGCTCGGGAAAGTCCTATTTAATTTATTTTTCTCCATAACATATCTTTGTTTCAGATTTTTTTAGATTTTTTTTTTTTTTTTTTTTTTTT